GGGAGGGCTGGTGCGGGCCGGGCAGGGCGCGGGTTCGGTGGGGGCCGCGGTGCCGACCTGGCTTCCTCTCCGCGCCCTCCCGATGCTCCAGGCCAGGAGACGGTCAACGCCACCGGAGTCCTCCTGAGCCGCAACGGCTCCGTGGTCTCTGCCAGCTTCGACGGCTGGGCCGCCGTCTCGGTGATCGCGCTCTCCGACATCCTCCACGCCTCCGCCAGCCTCCCGCCCGAGTGCCAGAACCGCACGGAGGGGCTCCTGGGTGAGGGCGGCGCGCACCTGCCTCTGAGGCTCTACGGAGCCGGAGCTCGGACCCCCACGCCCGCGGGCCCGGGCAGCCCTGCTCGGCCTCCCTTTCTGCGCCTCCTTGGAGCAGAACCCTCGGGCACGGAGCGGGCCGGGAGCGGAGGGGCTTCTCCAGCCGCCACCGAGGCACCCTTTCTGGCCACCTCCCGCTCTAAGGGAGCATCAGGGGTGGGCTCCGGGGAGTCGGGGGCGGGGTCACAGCCATCCTTTGGCCCTTTCCTCTTGCCTCCCACATCCTCCCGCCCTCCTCCATGGCTGCCCGCGTTCCTCCCACCCCTCCCGAAGGCAGCCGGGCAGGGTGTGAGGGCCGGTCCTCCCGGCTCCCCTGGAGGCCTGACAGCAGGTGCCACGGCCGAGGCTGCCAGGCCCTGGCCTCTCCCCACTGCGTTCACTGGATGCTCCCCAGGAAGGGGACGGCTGTGTGCCCAGGGTGGCCAACCTCCCACTCTGACTGTCCCTCAGGAGTCTGGAATAACAATCCGGAGGACGACTTCAGGATGCCCAATGGCTCCACCGTCCCCCCAGGGAGCTCTGAGGAGACGCTTTTCCACTACGGAATGACCTGTGAGTCTGGGCAGGGTCTCGGGGCAGAAGGGGCAGGTAAGGAGAGCCAGTGTGTTTAGGTCGTCCCCCTCAGCCCTGTAGGAAGCAGACCTCCATCCTCCCTAAGGTCCGAGGAATCTGTGCCCCCCCTCGGCCCCCCAGGACTGTCCCCCCAGGACCAGTGCACCTGCCTTTCTCTAGCTGGAGGAGAGAATGGGGTAGGTCGAGCGTCCTCTCTCACTGCAGCAGGCGTTTCCAGACTCAGAAGCTAGAAACCGCTGTCGCCCTGCACTCCCACCGCCCCGCTCCAACCCAGAAGCTAGAAACCGCTGTCGCCCTGCACTCCCACCGCCCCGCTCCAGGCCACATAAAGTGAGGGGTAGGGGTGGACACAGAAGGAATAAGGCTGAGTGCCATGCCGGGTACCATCACGCTCTGTGTGTTACAGGGCAGATCAACGGGACAGGCCTCCTTGGCAAGAGGAATGACCAGCTGCCTTCCAACTTCACCCCTGTTTTCTACTCACAACTGCAAAACAGCTCCTGGGCTGAAGATGTGATCTCCAGCTGTAATGGAGACAGCTCATGCATCTATGACACCCTGGCCCTGCGCAACGCAAGCATCGGACTTCACACGCGGGCCGTCAGCAAAACCTACAAGCAGGTGAACGCCACCCTCAGTAAGTGGCCCGAGCCCCTGGGAGGCCTTTTCAGAGCAGAAGCAGATGAGGAGCTGCCCTTCCCTGACCCTGCTTTACCCTGTGCATCTGCATTCACTGAACAGATTCTTTTGCTCCTGTTATTCCTCTGCTCAGACCCTCCAGTGGCTTCCCCCGCTCTCTCCATCCTAGCAGTGGCCTTTGGCCCGGTTCGGCTTCTCAGAGCTCTTCTCCTAGTGCTGGACCCCTTCCCAGCTCCCTGCACTCCAGCCCGCTCAGTCTGCCCCCCGCCATTTCTCAGAGCTCTTCTCCTAGTGCTGGACCCCTTCCTACCTCCCTCCACTCCATCCTACTGCTGGACCCCTTCCCACCTCCCTCCACTCCAGCCCCGCAGGGTCCTCTGTGTTCCCCAAACACACCAGGCATGTGCGCTCAGCTCCCAGGCTTCACACGTGCTGTTCTCTTGCCTGGATGCCTTTCCTTCCCTGGACAGCCACACGCTTGCCCCTCACCTCCTTTATGTCTTTATTCCAATTCCCCTCCTCAGCGAGGGCTCTCTTGGCCGCCCTGTCTAAAATGGCACATTCACCCACACTTCCTGTTTGCCTTCACTGCTTTATTTTTTTCTCCTTAGCATTTATAATTACTCAACATATTTTATAATTTTCACAGGTATCTTTTTTATTATTCATTCATGACTGTATCCTCACTACCCAGAGCAATGCCAGCCACTTAGCTCAATAAATATTTGTTAAATGATAGATTGAATGGATGTGTGAACCAACTATGAAATGGAAATGGCAGGGCTCCGAGAAACAGCCCCGTGAAAAGGTTTCACTCCCTGTCTATTTCTGGACAAATGTGATGTGCGTTTCGATGTGACTCTCCAGGTTTTTTTCGTTCTTTCTTTCTTTTCTTTTCTTTTTTTTTAAGATGGAGTTTCACTCTTGTTGCCCAGGCTGGAGTGCAGTGGCGTGATCTCGGCTCACGGCAACCTCTGCCTCCCGGGTTCAAGCGATTCTCCTGCTTCAGCCTCCTGAGTAGCTGGGATTACAGGTGCCCGTCACTACGCCTGACTAATTTTGCATTTTTAGTAGAGACGGGGTTTCACCATGTTGGTCAGGCTGGTCTTGAACTCCCGACCTCAGGTGATCTGCCGGCCTCGGCCTCCCAAAGTGCTGGGATTACAGGCATGAGACACCACGCCCGGCACCCTTCAGGTTTTCAGCCCTTTGCCGAAGGTACAACTCTGTAATGGTCTAAACAAATCTGCTCTCTAATTCACTTTTTGTCATACCCAGCATAGCACCATGTTCAGGAAAGAATCCGAAAGGAGCTCTTTTTGAGGAGACTAGGGGAGAGAGAGAGGCTAAAGATTTGGCTAGGTGGGCAGTACAGTCCCAGCCTGCTGTGCGTCAGTCGAGAGCGGGTACACAGAATAATTCCTTCTTCCAGAGGTGGGGCACAGTCCTGGGAATGCCTCACACATATTAGAGTTGAGAAAGAGAGGAGGCTGATAAAGCAGGAGACTGCCCTCCCTCGGAACCCCCATCCCCTCTTTGTGTTTCAGATCAGTACCCGCCCTCCATCAATGGTGGTCGTGTGGTTGAAGCCTACAAGGGGCAGACCACACTGATTCAGTACACCAGCAACGCTGAGGATGCCACCTTCACGCTCAGAGACAACTGTACTGACTTTAAGCTCTTTGGTAAGAATGTTTGGCTGGGGAGAGTGGGGAGGTGGGTAGGGGATGAGGTCAGAGTCAAACTTTGGGAAATTTTGCATCGCTATACCCAGCAAAACTTGCTGTCACTCTTTCATTTGAACATCCAGGACCGGCATTTCTGAGGAACGATACATATAACTCAAATAGGTGCCCCCCAGTAAGTAGTAGTGACAGGCTTATGGTGATTTGGTCAGATAGGTAGAGTGAATCTGGGCACATAGAACTGATTCAAGGCTGAGCGCGGTGGCTCAGGCCTGTCATCCCAGCACTTTGGGAGGCCGACGCGGGTGGATCATCTGAGGTCAGGAGTTTAAGACCAGCCTGGCCAACATGGTGAAACCCCATCTCTACTAAAAAAACAAAAAAATAGCCAGGCATGGTGGCGGGTGCCTGTAATCCCAGCTCTTCGGGAGACTGAGGCAGAAGAATCACTTGAACCTAGGAGGCAGATGTTGCAGTGAACTGAGATCGCGTCACTGCACTCCAGCGTGGGCAATAGAGCGAGACTCCATCTCAAAACAACAAAAAAAAAAACTGACTCAAAGATCATTTAATCTCAATCTGATCATACGCAGTCATCTTTAATCATTATGCATTCACCAAAGTATTAGAATAATCAAGTGCAACATTTAAAATGACCAATTTACAACACTTTTATATCTATTAAAGGAAGGATCTAATGTAGGACAACACTTCAAGAAATATAAACAATACTTTCATTTGGTACCTTTCTTGCTCTTTTTATGTCTGGTAACCGTGTTTACCTAGCTGTGTCTCTCCTTGTCTGATTTCCTGGGCTAGGACCCAGTAACGTACCATCGTTTCCTCTCCATAAAGGTGTTAGAGACCCTGAGCCCTGCATCCATGATCAGGGCCAAAGGGTCCCAGCACAAGGGATGCCGCTGCCTGTTGCCAGCACTAATTCTGTGGGTGACTGTTCTTGGCTAAACCAAAGCCCCAGGGGGCATATCTGCATTTCTTTGCCTCTCTGCCTGACGTTCTTTCTCTCCGTGTGCCAGAAGGGACTGCTTTGCCCACATCCCTTTTGCCTCACATGCGTCCTCCCAAGTGTGAGACAATTGTGCCCCACGTGCGTCCTTCCAGGTGCAAGACAACGGCGTTGGGAGATTTTGTTCTCCACGGGCTCCATCCCTGGAGGACGATGGTCTGGAAATTGCGTTCGTCTGTTCTCTGTCACTTCCTTTCAATCTGCTGTTCTAGGCTTTCCTATTTGCTTGAAAAGTGTAAGTTGGATCAGAAGATGTGTAGCAGTGTTTCACTACAGTGTGGTGTCTGAAGGGGGTGTCTGGGAAAGGTCCAGGAAGTGGGGGGTGGGTGAGAAATCAGGGCAAAGGATGGGGCTGCTGTGAGAATGAAGCTGGTTTGGCTGGCAGCATAGCCTGGGGAGGTGCCTGGAGGATCCTGGCCTTGATCTTCCATCCCCCAGGATGTGCCATCCTGGTGCAAGCCCAGCGAGGGCTGCCCTTTGGGGTTTCTTCAGTGGGAAACTGCTTTTCCCTCTGTGGTGTCCCCCGTTACAATCAGTATGTTGGACTGGTGCCACCTTCTTCCAGCTTGGAGCGTGACCAGGATCACCCCTGATACCAGCCTTGCTCAAAGGAAATCACCAATGAGATTTGTCTGGGGAGTGGGGAGGTGGCCTGAGAGGGGTGGGAGAAGCCCCGCATCAGCAATCAGGGTGTTAGATGAGGATGCATCAGACCACAGAGCTGAGGAGTCTCCCGGCTCTCAACGTTCTCATCTTCCCCGGGGCAGAGAATGGGACGTTGCTATGGACACCCAAGTCGTTGGAGCCATTCACTCTGGAGATTCTAGCGAGAAGTGCCAAGATTGGCTTGGCATCTGCACTCCAGCCCAGGACTGTGGTCTGCCATTGCAATGCAGAGAGCCAGTGTTTGTACAACCAGACCAGCAGGGTGGGCAACTCCTCCCTGGAGGTGAGTGTTGGGAGGCAGGTGAGGAGTTTCTGTGCCGAGGGGAGAGGAAACGGGAGTGGAACGGATGCTGTGATTCTGCCTCTGCTGGGTGTGTTGGTGTTGGGAGGTGGGTGGAGCAGATTCCAGTCTCAGGCCATAAACTCACATGGGAAGAAAGAGAACTTTCTGGCCGGGTGCAGTGGCTCACGCCTTTAATCACAGCACTTTTGGAGGCTGAGGCAGGCGGATCACAAGGTCAGGAGATCGAGACCATCCTGACCAACATGGTGGAACCCCATCTCTACTAAAAATACAAAAATCAGCCGGGTGTGGTGGCGGGTGCCTGTAGTCCCAGCTACTTGGGAGGCTGAGGCAGGAGAATCGCTTGAACGCGGGAGGCGGAGGTTACAGTGAGCCAAGATTGCACCACTGCACTCCGGCCTGGGCAACAGAGTGACACTCCATCTCAAAAAGAAAGAATGAAAAGAAAGGAAAGAAAGAAGGAAGGAAAGAAAGGAAAGGAGAGACAGACAGAAAGAAAAGAAAGAAAGAGAAAGAAAGAAAGAAAGGAAGGAAGGAAGGAAAGAAAGAAAGAGAAAGAAAGGGGAAGGAAGGAAGGAAAAGAAAGAGAAAGAAAGAAAGAAACTTTATTGGAGAAAAAGAAGAAAGAAAGAAGGAAGGAAAGAAAGGGGAAGGAAAGGAAAGAGAAAGAAAGATAAAGAAAAAGGAAGAGAGAAAGAAAGAAAAGAAAAGAAAGAAAGAGAAAGAAAGAAACTTGATTGCTTATAGTTCAACCGGACTTTTCTCTCCCACTTCCCCTCTGCCAGGTTGGCAGGAAGCCTCCACCTCAGTCTTTCTCACAGTGCCCAGTGGTTCCCAGTTCCACAGCTCTGTGGCAAAGCTCAGCAGAGGGCCCTGCGGTGTGGGGTAGAAGGTGGTCATGGGGTCCCTGGGCATGAGTCCACACAGGTTTCCATCCCAGCTCTGCCCCACTTCCCCTTCAGACCCAGGGAGAGGCTCTGCTGCTTCTGTGCCTTGCTCAGACATAGGACACCTTTTACGAGGCCGCTTACGGTCCTGGCTGCCTAGAAGCACCCCACAGCCATTTCTCCCTAGGATGTCATCATCACGGTGCTGGGAAGAGAGCTGCTGGTCGCTCTATCTTGACACCTCCAAGCCCCTTTGCTTTCTCTTTTACTCTCTCCCTCTGGCTAAAAGAAACATCTTTTTCAGTTTGGAGAAATTACTTCTCCATGTGTCTAGCCAAGATACTTGGCTTAATTCCACGACTCTTGTCCTATCTGCTTTTTAATTTTTATTTTTGGTTGTAAAGGAAGAGCCAGAAAGTGTTTATCTGGCAACACAAAACCACCTCCTTCACCCTTTACACACACACACACGCACACACACATGCACACATGCACACACACACACACATACACATACACATCCTTCTGAAGCATGAGCAGAGAATGGGGACTTGAAAGGGGTAGAGGTAGTGATGGTTGGTGGGGTGGGGGGTAGAAAAGGATAAAATACACAATGGGAAAAAGACAGATGAAAATCAATCTACTATTCTGGAGCTGCCCCGAGTTGCTTCAGTAAGGGAGTTGGAAAGGGGAGTTCAGGGAGCGTGGGGAGATATTGGAGCCACAGCCTTTGCTGGGCTGTTGTTCTGGTTGCTGCGTTTTCTCAGTACTTAGCAGAGAGGTTCTGTCGTCTTGGTTTGGGGGTCAGCAAGGGAGGTCAAAATGTCAGCTTATATGAAATCCAGTTTGCCGGCCACATAGAAGCCTGAGGCAGGTGGATTGCTTGAGCTCAGGACTTCGAGACCAGCCTGGGCAATATGTGAAGACATTGTCTCTAATAAAAATCAAAAAATTAGCTGGGCATGGTGGCATATGCCTGTAATCCCAGCTATTTGGGAGGCTGAGGCACAAGAATTGCTTTAACTCGGGAGGGGGACATTGCAGTGAGCCGAGATCGAGACATTGCACTGCAGCCTGGAAAACAGAACGAGACTGTCTCATAAAAAAAAGAAAAAGAAAAATACAAAAATTAGTGGGCATGGTAGTACATGCCTATAGTCCCAGCTCCTCAGGAGGCTGAGGTGGGAGGATGGCTTGAACCTGGGAGGTGGAGTTTGCAGTGAGCCAAGATCAAGACACTGCACTCCAGCCTGGGTGACAGAGTGTGACCCTGTCTCAAAATAAATAAATAAATAAGGAATCCAGTTTTCAAGCAATAGTACATACACACATACATGATACATACATTGATACATACATACATACATGATACACACATACATGGATATATACATACATTGATACATGGATACATACATACATGGATACATACATACATGATACATACATTGATACATGCATACGATACGTACATGCATGGATACATACATACATGGATACATACATACATGATACATACATTGATACATACGTGGATACATACGTGCATGGATATATACACACGTGATACATATATACACACATGAATACATACATAGATACATGGATACATTCATTCATTCATTAATGCTTCAATCATTCACGCATCCCCTGTCTTCCTCTAGAAAGGATTTCAGGCAAAGAGCTAGAGTGTGAGAGGGAAGAGGCTGAGATCCTGGTGCAGGGCCAGGCAAGGAGTCGGGGGTAAATAATGAACCGGGGAGGCCAAATGGGCAGGACTACCATGTGGCTTTAGGGCCTTGCAGCCCCAGGGCCTGGTCAAGAAGATACTCACCAGGTGCTGGTGGAGCTGAGACATGACTCAGGCAGGGTCCATGGGTTCCCAGGCCAAAGGGGTCAGTCAGAGACAGCCAGAAGCCCTTACCGGTTTGGTCTCCTGGCCGCCCATGATCAGCAACCTTCCTCCAGATGGCCGGCTGCAAGTGTGACGGGGGCACCTTCGGCCGCTACTGCCAGCGCTCCAAGGACGCCTGTGAGGAGCCGTGCTTCCCGAGTGTCCGCTGCATTCCTGGGAAGGGCTGCGAGGCCTGCCCTCCACACCTGACTGGGGATGGACGGCACTGCGCTGGTGAGCCGGGAACAGGGCCTGGAGGAGGGGCTTCTGGGAGCAGCTCACAGCTCAAGGGTGTGGACACCCAAAGGCAAACTATTTCTCTCCCTTCTCCGGCAAGCCTTTAGAATGTGCAATCTAGGTAGGTAATCTAGGCAGGTACGGGAAATCTAGGCAGGTACGGGAAATCTAGGTAGGCCTGGAAAGGGGGTGGATGGTGTGGTGCTGAAGGAGAAGAGGTTGTACAGGTATAGGGGAGGGGACGGGGCTAAGCATCCCTGAGGCATTGATGGGGGAAACCCTGGGCAAAAGACTGAAGATGGTCTGCCCAGGGGAGGAGACTTCAGCAGCGGCCAGGGAACCGGGCAAGCTGGCTCCTCGGGCTCCCTGGGGGTCTTCAGAGACACGAGGCCCAGGGTCTCTGCATCTCACAAGTCAGGACGTTTGGAGGGGCTGGTGTGGGGATCTGGCAGCAAAGGTGCCTGATTTTCCCTTTGTGTCCTCCCAGCCATCTGTTCCTCCCGCTCTGAGCCATCAGAGTCTGATGAGGGAGATCAGAGCAAGGCCTTTACCAAGCCCCCTTAGGCACCCAAATAAAATCTAGAGATCACTGTGCCTTCAGAGCCGAGGCCAGAGTGGGTAGAACCACAGATTTTATAAACGCAGAAGAGGAGACGGAAGTGAGAGGCAAGGGCGTGAGGAAAGCCGGCTGGGGGCCCCTCCTCTGCCAGCCTTCAGGGTCCTTTCTGAAGCAGAAGGCCTGAGAAACACTCCAGTCCCTCTCTAAAAGTGGAAGAATACCTGCCTGGTCGAGGAAAGGGGTTGCCTTGCAGAGAAACGCCTGGAAAAGGGGGGAAGGATGGTTTGGGGTTCTGAGTGGCCCACAGCAGAACGCTGGGGGAAAGAAAGCAGGCCTGTCCCAGAGCGGGTTTCCACGGGCTGGGCTCTCCCTCCGCTGCCCCAGTGCGCTGCTGCTGACCTCCCTGCTCACTCTGCAGCTCTGGGGAGCTCTCTCCTGTGTCGGAACCAGTCCTGCCCTGTGAATTACTGCTACAATCAAGGCCGCTGCTACATCTCCCAGACTCTGGGCTGCCAGCCCACGTGCACCTGCCCCCCGGCCTTCACCGATAGCCTCTGCTTCCTGGCTGGGAACAACTTCAGTCCAACTGTCCACCTAGGTACCGCCCTCTCACCCCCATGCTCCACCCAGGCCCCGCCCTCTCACCGCCACACTCTACCCAGGCCCCGCCCTCTCAACCCCACGCTCCACCCAGGCCCCGCCCTCTCAACCCCCACGCTCCACCCAGGCCCCGCCCTCTCACCCCCACACTCCACCCAGGCCCCGCCCTCTCACCCCCACACTCCTCCCGCCTTTGGGGAATGGGATATGATAATGGGATGGGGAAGCTCTGGGGTCACAGGACAGAGCTCCGGATTTCTCTGGGATGGTGTAAGGTGCGGGCTGTAGGAGCAGGGGAGGGCAGCTGTCACAGCAAGGACCACGGGGCTGTGTGGCCTGTGGAGGAAGGACGGAGGCAGAGACTTCACAGCTGGCTCAGTGAGATGAGTGGCCGGAGGCCCGGGGCATAGTGGAGTGAGCGCTAGGGTGAGGGCCACTTCTCCGGTGTCTTCAGTGACCTGTCACTGTGGAATGGAGCCGTCGCCCTGGGCTGGCCCGACGGACTTCTTGGGTAAGTCTGGGTAAACCGTGGGGTGATGATACATTTGCTTCTCCCATCTCCAGAACCTCCCTTAAGAGTCATCCAGCTCTTGCTCAGTGAAGAGGAAAATGCCTCCATGGCAGAGGTCAACGCCTCGGTCAGTGCTGCAGGCCGCGCTCCGGGTGGGAGGGGGCGCTTGGCGGGTTCAGGCGAGGGCGGAACCATCCCTGTGCGGCCTTCATCTTGTCATCCATCTGGATTCAATTGCCAGAGGAGGCCGAAGCCTCTTGCCCCATGGGAGGTGCAGGGCATTAGGAAGTGAGGAAGGCCGGGGACAGAAACCTCAGCTCACCACAAGCAGAGGCCAGGGTGCCAAGTCACCCCAGCCGAGCCCTCTGAGCATCTCGGGTATGACCTGGAAGAAACCAAAGGGCGTTTCGCCTCCAGGGAGTCTTCCCGGACTTCCCAGAGGGAACGGGGTGCTCCCTGCTCTTGGCGTCCATGCCATACCCCAATCACAGGCAAAGTTGCACAACTGCCGAGTGTTTGAGGCTCTAGCATCGTGCACACCCAGAATCAAAATCTCTGCGCTGCCCCTCACTAGAGCAGGTATGTTAATTACACACATTATATAACAGGTCATCTGTAAACGCAGGGACAAGCATAGCACCTGAGTCAACAGGCTGTCTCACCGTTTAAATGATGTGCGTCAAGCATTTAGTACGGTGGCACAGACGTATTCACATTTGTAATTGCTTTATTACTACTGGCACACATAGCATTCCACTCCCCACTCCCACTCCCCCTCCCCACTCCCCCTTGCCACTCCCCTCCTACTTCCCATCCCAGTCCCACTTTCCACTCCCACTACCCACTTCCACTCCTTCCACTCCCCACTCCCCTTCCCACTCGCCACCCCACACTCCCCCTCCCCTTCCCACTCCCACGCCCTACTTCCCCTCCCCAGTCCCCACTTCCATCCCCCCACATCCCACTCCCATTCCCCTCCCTCTCACACTCCACTCCAAGCTACACCCTCCACATCCACCTCCCACTCCATACTTCCCACTCCTACTCCCACTCCACCTCCACCTGCCCACTCCAGCGCCCTCCCCACTCCACTCCACTCCATATCACCCTCCCCACTCCTACTTCCCACTCCACATCATCCCCGCTCCTGGCTCCCCATCCTGCTCCACTCCCTACTCACTCCTGCTCCCACTCCACACTCCTACTCCCACTCCCCACTCCACATGGTAAAATCTGTTGACATTTGTCACCTGCACCAGACTATGCACTCTTTGAGTTTAGACTCCACCTAAGTCACCTTGACACCCCCAGCCCCTGACCACCTCCTAGGTCTACTTAACCCATGTTCAGTATACTGTGGAGGGGTCATGAGTCATGCATCAGAGGCGAGGCTGAGGAGGGGGACAGAATGGAAAACCCTTCACTCACAACAAACATTATTAAGCAAGGACCCGCGATAGTCACTGGGCTAGGTTAGAGTGGGAGGATGCAGAGACGGTGAGGAATGTGCTGGGGTCCTGGGGCTCCCGTTCCAGGAGGAAACAGGGATGAATACACCCATCAAGGTGGGAGGGGATCTCCCCTCTGGATGGGGCCTTACCCCCACCTGCCCATCCCTCATCCTCTGTCCTAGGTGGCATACATACTGGGGACCCTGGACATGCGGGCCTTTCTCCGCAACAGCCAAGTGAACCGAATGTAAGTGGGACTGTGTCCCCCTGAGCCCCCAGGTCCTCTTCCTCATCCCCCGCTCCCTGGCCCCCCTCACCGTCACCCTCCCACACAGCGATTCCCCAGCACCGGCCTCGGGAAGCCCCATTCAACACTGGATGGTCATCTCGGAGTTCCAGTACCGCCCTTGGGGCCCCGTCATCGACTTCCTGAACAACCAGCTGCTGGCTGCGGTGGTGGAGGCGTTCTTATACCAGGTTCCACCGAGGAGGGAGGAGTCCAGGAACCACGTGGTCTTCCAGCCCATCTCCGGGGAAGACGTGTGGGATGTGAGAGCCTGTGAGTCCATCCATTCCGGGGACAGTGTGGGGGTCACTGCAGGGGGCGGGTAAACGGAGGTGCTTCCGCCCACACAAACAAGTTAGTTGAGTTCTTCTGTTTGCTTGGTTTTGAGAGGAAACGTGAACATTTTATCCAGCTTCCTTTTAGATTCAAGAGCAGGAGCAGCCAGCACCGCTAAGGCAGTCCCATGTATGCAGCTTCACAGAGCAAGTACCCAGGGCCTTGCTGACTGTGGCCGCTAATAAAACAGCAGCAATTTATTTTCATAACATTGCTAATAGTTTTCTTAAAATGCCTTTGCACTAAAACATACACAAGGACACCCCCAACGTGTATGTCCTCCAGCTGCAGGATATTAACCTGAAGACTGGAGACTGGCCAGGGACAGACGCAACTCCTCTCAGAAATGATGGGACCCTGTGCAAGCACCTTCCCCAGGCCAGGCCAGGCCAGGCCTCAATACTCCTCAGCACCTTCCCCAGGCGAGGCCTCAACACCCCCCAGCACCTTCCCCAGGCCAGGCCAGGCCTCAGCACCCCCGAGCACCTTCCCCAGGCCAGGCCTCAGCACCCCCGAGCACCTTCCCCAGGCCAGGCCAGGCCTCAGCACCCCCGAGCACCTTCCCCAGGCCAGGCCTCAGCACCCCCATCTGAAAATGAGATGGGATTTCTGAGCCCCCTTTCAGTGCTGACAGCCCCTGGTTCTCCCGGAACAGGTATAAGTTGGCAAGCTTGTCAGAGTAACAAAGGAGTAATACATCCTATTTTCTGTCTAGGGCAGAGAATAGGGCAGTGGCCACCCCAAACACAACAGAAAGTGCTGTTTTACTTGGGTCTGGGACCAAGCAAGAGCTTCTCCTAGAATGCAGGCTAAGCCTGCTCTCTCCTGGAGCAGTGGGTGAAATCCCTCAGAACTACTGTATGTTGGGGAGTTGGGGTAGGAGGCCCAGGGAGGCAAACCCTGACTATGCAATTAAGGAAAACCTATAATTTTTATTATACAAGTATCCTATGTTTATTGCAGAAACTTTAGGAAACACAAATTTAACAAAAAGAAAAGAGGAAAAAACCCCTGTAATCCCAATCCCCAGAGAGACAACAATATTTTGTACATATCCTTCTGAACTTCCTTTTATGCCTAAGAACTTCACACATCGATTTTTTATTGAAGGATCAAATCATTCCTAATGTTTGATAACCTCCTCGTTAAACATTTGTGAACAGATTGTCTCATATATTGTATCCATATTCCCATTTGACATATTATAATGGTAGGTTTGAATATAGTGTCATATTTTAAAATACGTTAGAATAATCATTACCATTTTTTGAGTGCTTACTGTGTGTCAGGCAGTGTACTGAGTACTGTGGACATATTACCTCATTTAAATCTCACAGCAGCATAAGTGCTATTATGATCATTTCCTTTTAAAGATAAGGAAACTGACACTGAAAGAGTTAAGGAATGTTCCCTGAATTACACATCTAGTTACTAGTAGAGTTTCAGTTTCAACCCAGGTCTGGCCACCTTCAAAGCATACGCTCTTTAGGAAAGCATTTTCCATAGAAAACTTTTTCCATAGGAAACTTTTTCCATAGGAACTGTCATCCCTTGGTAAGGATATGCAGTTTATTTAACCCCATCCCACTTCTGAAACATTGTTACTATTATCCACTACGCTGATCTGAATATGCAGGGGCATATGTATCTGTGCACCTCTCTATTTCTCAGGAGAAACACCTGAAAAGGAATTCGTGGTTGAAAAGGTATTGATTTAGTGTTCATCAGTTGCTTTGTGTGTTAATCTGTGTCCTTCCTGACAGTGAACGTGAGCACGCTGAAGGCTTACTTCAAATGCAATGGCTACAAGGGCTATGACCTGGTCTACAGCCCCCAGAGCGGCTTCACCTGCGTGTCCCCGTGCAGTAGGGGCTACTGTGACCATGGAGGCCAGTGCCAGCACCTGCCCAGTGGGCCCCGCTGCAGGTGCATAGGGCTGCGGCCAGGAGGTGGATGACAGTGCTGGGGAACCCAAGCTGGGCAAGACACCGCAAGGGGTCCAGAAATTAGGATGGCTCCCTTTGTAACGAGAAAGATCGGAGACCTGGGAAGAGGGGACAGTGGGAAGGGAGAGTTGTGAGTGCCTGCTCTGTGTGGAGAATATATTACAAACTCTGAAACCCAAAGGAGCCACAGGGGGTATTGAAACCATTTCGAAGATGAGAAAACTGCAGCTTAAAGATGACCAGGAACTTGCCCGGGGAGCCAGTAGGTTAAGCAGCAGGGCATGGTTTCCAAAGCCAAACATTTTTTATTTTTATTTTTTGAGATGGAGTGTCATTCCGTCGCCCGGGCTGGAGTGCAGTGGTGCATTCTCGCTCACTGCAACCTCCACCTCCCGGGTTCACGCCATTCTCCTGCCTCAGCCTCCCGAGTAGCTGTGACTACAGGCGCCCGCCACCACACCCAGCTGATTTTTGTATTTTTAGTAGAAACAAGGTTTCGCCATGTTGGCCAGGCTGGTCTCAAACCCCTGACCTCAGGTGATCCGCCCACCTCAGCCTCCCAAAGTGCTGACATTACAGGCGTGAGGCCCAAAGTGAAACCCTCCCACCTGATCTGGCTGCTGCTTCCCTGCTGTCTCCTTGTGGGGAAGGAACCTGCAGTCCTGTGTCTAGGGCCAGCCCTGCCCCTCAGTCACGGGAGGCGCCTTTGCCCCTGCCCTCACCAGCAGTCCCGGGGTTCCGCTGGTGAACAGCGCAGGAAGCCGCGGTGCACGCAGGCCTGGTCTCCGCGCCCTCCGCCTGCTGCGGTTCCAGATCCGCTGAAGAAGGGGGTGGGCGGAGCGGGGGCGGGGCCCAGCTCTCCGGGCGGGGCGGGGCCGGGCCGGGGCGGGGCTGTGACTGCGCATGCCCACTTGTGGCCAGTCGGCATCCCTGCTGCCCAGGCACAGCTGACTGCACGCGCAGCTGAATTCACTCCACGTTTTTGTTTTTGTTTTTGAGACGGGGTCTCGCTCTGTCCCCCAGGCTGGAGTGCAGTGTTGCAATCTCGGCTCACTGCAAGCTCCGCCTCCCGGGTTCAAGCGATTCTGCCTCAGCCTCCCGAGTAGCTGGGACTACAGGTGCGCGCCACCATGCCTGGTTAATTTTTGTATTTTTAGTAGAGATGGGGTTTTACCGTGTTGGCCAGTCTGGTCTTGAACTCCTGACCTCAAGTGATCCGCCGCCTCAGCCTTTCAGAGTGCTGGGATTCCAGGCGTGAGCCACCAGGCCCGGCCCAGGCCCATGTTTTAAAGCCCACAGCTGCCTCTTTGCCCAGTGGCCTCACTTCAGCACGGCCTCAGGGCTGACTCAGCCTTTCTCTCCGGAGAGTGGGGCAAGCCCAGCCTCTCCTAGAGAACATCTTCCCCAGCGGAAGAGGCGGGGCTGGGAGGCTGAGCTCCCACCTCTGACACACTGTCTCTCTCTCGGTCGCCAGCTGTGTGTCCTTCTCTATCTACACGGCCTGGGGAGAGCACTGTGAGCACCTGAGCATGAAACTCGACGTGTTCTTCGGGATCTTCTTTGGGTCCCTGGGCGGCCTCTTGCTGCTTGGGGTCGGGGTGTTCGTGGTCCTGCGCTTCTGGAATTGCTCCAGGACCAGCTTCTCCTATCCCCTGCACTCAGCTGAGGCCTCGCCTTGAAGGGACAGCTGTGGCCTAGGCTACCTCAAGACCCACCCCATCCTCACCGCACACTTAAGGCGCCATTGCTTTTGGGAGACTGGAAAAGGGAAGGTGACTGAAGGCTGTCAGGATTCTACAAGGGGAGTGAATACTGGGACTCAAGACAAGACTATACCTTATCCATAGGCTCAGGTGCACAGGGGGAGGCCATAAAGACAAACAAGCGTGGAGGGGTCCTCACGCAGACGCCCCCACAGAAGGACACTGGCCTGTGCACGCGTGCGCGCACATACACACACACACACACACACACACACACACACACCAAAGTTCATAATGCAGTGATGGCCCTAAGTTAAGCAAAATATTTCTGCACACAAAACTCTCTGGTTTACTTCGAATTAAAGTCTATTTAATAAAGCTGTCTAACTTTTTGTGTCTTCAAAACCAGGGATTCCATTCCTGATTTTCTTCTGGTGGCCGAAGGGCTGGGCACAGGCTTCTCCAAACCGTCAGAGGGCACAGTGTGTGGAGGTTAAGTGTTGGACAGGCAGTGGAGCAGTAGGGGCAGCTGGATCCAGTCCTAATCAGCCAGGTCACCCACGCTGGAAATCCTCAGTTGCTCCACCCTAACCTTGCTTCAGGCTCCACATCATCTTCTTCTTCCCCCACCCCAGCAAGGGCCAAAGCTTCCCCTCTAAGGAGGAGGGCAAAAGAGATACCCCAAGATGGAGTGCCCCAGACTCTCTCCCAGGACCCCTCCCCACCTGCCTGTCCATCAATTTCACAAAGTCATAAAAGGATCAATGTACAGTGTGTTTTCCTGTCTGGTGGCTGTCCCCACCGCCTGTGTTTCATGGAAGAGGGATTAAACCATTTCAGCTCCCTTTCCAGGAGCCAACTCAAGAAACATGCCACCACCCCACCCTTAGATCTGGAGGACCCGATCCCTAATATACCTTCTCTGTCCTTTCCCGGACCCCAGATGGAGTCTTCTGAGGTTCTCCATCCCACAGCCCTTCAGCCCTACCCTGCCTCCACTTGTCCCCAGCAACCTGATCAGCTTCCACATAATCCTCTCAGCAGGCAGGACTTTTACACCTATCTGGTGTAACAACTCCAACACCATTGGTCCCCAATTCCTGTGTCTAGAAAATCTCAATTCTGCAAAACTTTACGCGAAACTAGGTGGCTGCCTCTTAGTTCTAAATCCCAAATCCCTGAAGAGAGAATCTGACTGGTCCAATTTACATCAGTTGTTTATGCCTGGTCCAATAAAATGCAGTCATGGGGTCAGAAAGGAAGTCACATGGTACAAAGCAGGTGTTCAAGCTCACTGCCCCTTAAATATTTGGTAAAATCCAACTCAGGAGTCATGGTGTGCTGTGTGCGTTCTTCTTTGATAAATGAATGTTCGTGGATCTATCGGTTTTTGTATGGAGAACTTTCATTATATTCCACTTTGGGCATATGAGGGTAAAAGCCAGCTTTGTACATGAGAGTGACTTCCACTATTGGGAGAAGTCATTCTCCATATAACGTAGACAGTTTGGGATCTGCTCGATCAGAGACTGTGATGGTTAATATTGAGTGTTAACCTGATTGGACCTGGAAGGACACAAAAGTATTGTTCCTGGGTGTATCTCTGTGAGGGTGTTGGCACGGGAACTAATATTTGAACCAGTGGACTGGGAGAGGCAGACCCACTCTCAATCTGGGGGTACGACACAATCTAATGTTTGCAGAGTGGAGCTAGATAGAGCAGCAGAGGGGAACACGAAGGATTACAACCTGGTGCGTCTTCCGCCCTCTCCTCCTCCCTCATCTCTGCCTCGCTCGCCTCTCGCTCACCCCGCTCCGCGCACCTGCTCTTCCGCCTCCTCGCCTCTCTCGATCCGATGGTATATCGCCCAGGCGGCTTCAACCGGCCAACCACACACACCACCCCAAAAGCCAGAAAAAAAAAAACAAAAAAAAAAAAAAAAATAACTTGGAGCCACAGGGGAGCTTAAAGAAAGCTAGACGCCTGTAGGCTTAACAATAATTTTTTTGTAGAAATCACATTGGGATGTCAGAAAAAAAAAAACAAAAACAAAAAACAAAACACAAAAAAAAAAACAAAAAAAAAAAAACAAAAAAAACGCAAAAATACAAAACAAAACAAACAAAACAAACAAAAAAAAAAAAAAAAAAAAAACTAACGGCATTACCATGCCTATCATACCAGCAATCATAAGCAAACAGGACGGACCCAAAAAAAACAAAAAAAAACACAACAAAAAAGACCATAAAACACAAAAAAACAACATTGTGGACAAAACAATCACAAACCAAAAATTAAAGTTGATCAGAATGAATAGAGATAAGGAATACATACCTATACATAAAAAACATAAAAAAACCTTTATAATATAACCATAAAAAACATCAATCAAAAAAAACTAAATCCTAAGAATGAAACCTGAAACAAAAGACTGCACATTACAAAAAAAAAAAAAAAAACATAAAGGGACAGAAATAAAACAAAAACACAAAAAACCCTGACTAATACAAAAAAAAAACCACCAAACAAAAAACGATCAAATATGTTATAATAAAAACTATACTAAAAATCACAACAAAAATAAATCCATACAATAGTGTACTAATATAAACAAACAAACTAAAACAAAAAAAAATAATCAAAAAACATATATAAAAATGAGACAAGAGTCTTTGAGCTCAAAATGTACAACACGACAGACGCTAGGCAGATAACCAAAAGATGACAAAAACCTGGATCATCAGCTCACTGCAAAAACATCCACCCTCCACTGCGGCTTCCAAAAGAGATTCTCCTCCGCCCCATCAGCCCCAACATCCCCCTGACGTAACGCTGGGATTCACACGGCACTTGCCCCCACCGCCCCGAGCTAATTTTTGTATTTTTAGTAGAGACCACGAACACCCACCAACACACCCCCAACCCTCCCCCCCACGAACACCCCGCCCAAACCACCCCCCACCACAACATACCCAACCACCAACGCCCCCGCAGCTTTCCCATGTCGGGCCAGCTGGTCTCAACTCTTGGCCTCAGTGAATCTGCCGCCCGCCCTCAGCCTCCCAAAAGTGTTGGGATTTACAGGTGTGAGCCACTGCGGCCCAACCAAGATATTCCTTTGGGAAGCTTCCTTCAACAGAATTTACCCCACCGCAAG